TATATGTTTATTAAATAAAGTCTAATGTTACAAATAATCGGGGATCCCTTTAACACTGTACATAACATTTTTAAAATAGTAGTTTGGATTGTAACCATTATTGTTCATGAGCAAAACAAATAAAAAATGGAGCCTACGTTATTCTGCATGAATCAAGGGCTGGTGTACCTGGAAGCATGTGAGGCAGTGGTGGAGTGGTGGGAGCGGGTCGACATTCGACTGCCTGCATAGTTGCCAGCACCCTCAGCTCCATGGCTGATCACACACTCTGTTGTAGGGACGCTCTTTGAGATGTACTGAAAAGCAAACATAAAAAAAACATTTTTTGCTTTTTCTAGATTCTCATTTTTATAAAACATAACGTGTCTGTGTTTCATTGTTCATTGTTTCAATGATCTTTTGTCTTTTTTACATCCATTTACCAAGTGTTCCTGCTTCCATTTGTTTTGGGAATTGAAGCCACAAAATCCTGTTTTGATGTCCGTGATCTGAATTCTAAGTATGAAATTACAGCTAAACGTATCCATCCATTATCTATACCCACTTCTTCCTTTCAGGGTCACTGGTGCCCATTTCCAGCAGTCCCACTGTGTCAGGGGCGAGTTACAACACAAGTCCAACACAGGGCACTAAATATATTAAAAACCAATAATAATTTACAGCAACAATTATAATTGTTTTGGACTAAAGTTTAGGTTATCCTCCAAGCAACAGTGTTAAAACTGTGATCTCCTGACAATAGCTACATTTACATGGACATAAGTAATCGGATTAAACGGCCATTCAGAATAAAAATGTGTCGTGTAAACACCCCATTCGGATTATTCTGACCCGATTCAGCTCAATCCGAATGAATTTGTAATCAGAATGAGAGAGGTGGTTTCTGCCTATTGATAATCCAAACGACGAGCATGTAAACACTTAATCTGATCATCTTACTCTGATGGTGGAAAACTGACCTGACTACACATGACTGCTGACTTTCATCCAGTGGTTTCCAGCAGCACAGAAGTTTTCCTCCCATGCTCTCATAAGAAGACACACAGTCTGCACCGCTTCGCAAAAAAAAAAAAAAAGTCCGCTCGTCACCTGCAGCTGAACCTACGACGGCTTATTAGGCCACATTGCAGATGAAAAAAAAAGGGAAGAGCAAATCTCCGAGAAAAAAACTCAGAATTTCTGAGATTAATTTCAGACATTTTTGAGAAAAAAAACAGGAAATTCTCTTATTTTGAAATGTCACAAATTTGCGAGAAAAAAACTCAGAAATTTCCTTAATTAAAGGCAGAAATTTGCAACATTTAAACTATATATATTCTGACATGGTAAAGTCAGAAACTTACAAGAAAAAAAACTTGCAAATTTATGAGAAAAAACGCTAAAGTTTTCAGGTTAAACATTATGCAATGGGTGTAGAATAATCTAGTCCAGGTTTGAAGCCTCTATGTGTTTTAGTTTTTAAACTAGAGCAGATTAAAGATGCTAGTGAAAACAGGTGGAATCGCCCTTTAGCCATTCTTGTACATTTTACTGAACCCTAACCTGTGGTGCAGTCTGTCTTGAGCAACAGGAACCTTTACAATGTGTAGGGGCTGTGGTGGGTACGGTTGCCAACTGTCCCATATTAGCCAGGATGTCCCGCATTTTTAGCCAAACCAGTGTCCCCTACAAGACGCTCTTTCTCCTGTATTTTAACTGCAGCCTGCAATCAGAGCCGTTACGATATGACAGGCAATAAAGCATTTGTCTAGGCCCTGTGCTGAAGGGGGTCCCCGAGAGACGGTGCTGAAGTGGCCAAATGCAACGACCATATGAAACACTGAGTGCATTGAAATGACTGGTGAACTCTAGTTACCCTCTTAAGTGAAAAATTCTGCTAACTTTAAGTCTGCTAACAACAACTCTGGAAGGAGGAAATATTCACACAAGCATACAACACTCAG